AAATTTAAATCTTCTCTTCAAAATACATTTTCTGTTTGTTTTTGTTTTTGAGAGATTTTAGATATAGGGTGCATGCACTTGCCGGAGAGACAGAGGGAGACAGAAAGCGAGAAATCACCTCCCTGAAAGGTTGGCCATGCCACTATCCCTTCTCTTCCCGTCTCCTCTTGGGATTTTGAACACTCACACACATACACCCAGGGTGAATTTTAGGCTGTTGGGTCTGAGACTCAAACTGCATTTGACTACATGGAATCCAGCGACAACCATTACACCATCTGCTGGTCTCTAAAACATATTGTTTAATAATGAAAGTACAGGGTCCAGCAGATGGGAGAGTGGCTGGACTCCCACATAGCCGACCGTGGTTCAAGTCCCAGACCCAGTGGCTTGAAAATCATGCCAGATGTGTGTGCATGCATGCCCAAAATCCTAAAAGGAGAATGGAGGAGAAGGAATTGCAGCGTGGCCATGCCCCCTGGGGGGTGATTTCTCACTTTCCCTCTCACCGGATCTGTCTTTCTCTCTCTCCAGCCAACATACACACCCTAAAGCAAAAAACTCTTAAAAAATTTAATAATAATGAAAATATAAACTATAGACCAGGAGAAAATATTAGCAAATAATCTTCTGATGTAGATTGTGTCCATAATATAGAAAGAATTCTAAAAACTTAGAAATAAGAGGGACCAGCAGTTAGTGTAATGGCTATGTTGCTGGACTCCCAAGTAGTCGACCGTAATTCAAGTCTCAGACCCTGGGGCTTAAACTCACGCTGGGCACATGTGTGTGTGTGCCCAAGATCCCAAGAGGAGAATGGAGGAGAAGGGATTGCGGCATGGCCATCCCCCAGGGGGTGATTTCTCGCTTTCTGTCTTTCTGTCTCTCTGTCTCTCTCTGTCTCTCTGGCGAGTGCACATGCCCTATAGCAAAAACCTCTCAAACAAACAAACAAACAAACAAAAATTTAGAAATAAGAAAACAATCCAATTTTTAGAATGGACAGAAGAGGAGCCAGCAGATGGTGTGATGGGTAATGTGCTGGATCCCACATAGCTGAGTCCACAGTTCAAATCCTGGTCCCAGCAGCTTGAAAACCACGCATGGTGCATGTGTGTGTGCCCAAAATCCCAAATGGAGGAGAAGGGATTTCGGGATGGTCACCACCCCCCTGCGGAGTGCTGTCTCACCACACACCCCACACACCCTCTGCCCCTGGCAAGCACACGCACCCTACAGCAAAAACCTGAAAGCAAAACCCAAAAAAAAAAAGGAGAATGGACAAAAGATTTTAAACAGATACTTAACCCAGGATAAATGCAGATGGCAAATAAGCACCTGAAAGATGCTCGATGTCATTAGTCACTAGAGAAGAACAGATTAAAACGACAAGAAGTTGCCACCGCACACCTACAAGAACAGTACATTTACATTAGCCAAAAGGCGAGGTAAGAAGCAGTAAAAATGGCTGAAATGGAAGAGACTGACCACACCAAGTGCTAAGAGAATGTGCCAGAATTCTCCTACACTGTGGGTGGGAATATAAAACACGCAACTAGTTTGGAAGACACGTTGGTTTCGTAAAACATTAAGCGGGACTGGCCCAGTGCATGGTGATAAAGCACTGTGGAGGAAGCTGGATCCCACGTGGCTGGCCATGGTTCGCTTCCCAGCCTGGACAATACACCAGGCACGTGTGTGCGTCCAGGGTCCTGGCAGGAAGGAGAAAGAAAGGAAAGAGGATAGCAGTGTGACCAGGCCCTGCTGAGAAGAGGGCGGGTGCTTCCTCTGTCTCTCCTAGGTACTTACCCCAGAGAAAAGACCGCCTACGTCCTTACAGACCAGCAGCTTTTTAAGTAATGGCTTCGAAGTGGAAGCCACTCCAACGTTCAATAGCAGAAAAATAGATGTAAAAATGTCGCACATCCTTCCAACTAGAAACGGCCTCACAACAGAAATGAACTAGTGGCACATGCGGTGTCGAGGGTGGGGCCGAAACAACCAGGTCGAGTGAAAGGAGCCGGACAAAAAGGAATGCATAATTCTGTGTGGTCCCATTTGCATAAAATTCTAGGACATGCAGGCTCATTTATAGTAACAGAAAGCAGAGCAGTGGCTGCCCGGGAATGGTCCGGGCGAGGGGGGAACGGGGAGGAAGAGATTACAGGAACGTGTAAGAGACCTTTCTGGGACCGTCCTCTGTCTTCACCATGTGGTGGCTTCACAGGTATAGACCTATGTCAGAACTTACCAAATTATGCAGTTTAAATATGTGCATTTATTTGATGCCAACTCTACAAGAAAGCTTGCTCGGAAGGAGGTGGCTTGGTGGTTAGGATTCCCACATGGCCGGCCACGGTTTGACAACTTCCTTTCTCCCTTTCTCCCTCACTCTCTCTCATGCATATGCCCTACGCTAAAATTAAAACTAGCAATGGTAATAATAAAATTAAATAATTTTAAAAAAAGAAATGCCCAGCAAAATCTAGTGAAGAGACCAGAGCCGTGTGACGTGGACCGAGCTACTGAACTAGCTCCCTAGCGTTACCGAGGAACACGATTGCTGTCCTCAGAGGGGTGCTATGACGTGTCAGGTACGTTTCGTGCTAACACACGCTCAGTGCGTGATGGAAACGATGCAAGGGTGTTTGCAAGGATCCTGAGAGAAGTCGTAATCCCTGACTCCAAGTGTTCTGCTTGTATCTGGAGAGATCTCCATGGCAGGTCTGAAGGTCATGGCTCCTGGTTTCCCAATTCCTCAGGTTAATTTTCTTACTTGTTTTGTTTAGAAAGTTTTTACTTATTTATTCCTTTGATGAGGCAGACAGAGAGCGAGCCACCCCTGACGGGCTTCACGCTGTGACCACCCCCAGCCAGAGCCCACCTGGGCACACCTGGTGTACACGATGTGTACCCAGGCTACGATGTGAGCCCAGGCCCTCCCCGGCAAGGTGGAGTTGTGTTAGCACTGCTGGCCCCTCTCGGGTCACAGTTCTGTGTCCAATGACTTGGAGTGGATAGCAGGGTAGAATTTGGCCCACCCACGTCTCCACCGCCTTCCTCCTAACTCCCGGTTGGGCCGAGCCGGAAGGAGCTGAATCCCTGCTACTATGTGGCCTGACCCAGCCACCCACCAGCTCATGGTCTCTTCCTTCCCCTAATTTGGGGACCTGAACCACATAGACTTGTACAGGTCGGTCAGAAAGAAAACTCTGGGAGGCTTAGGAGGGAGTATGCAGCAGGCACGCGGCATGGCCCTGGCACCTCGGACACGTGGGTGCAGACTGGCAGTCGTGGTTTCGCCGCCGGTGAGTGAGCTTGATCTGCTCTGGCTGCCTGCCATGGTCACAGTCCCGGCTTCTCAGACCTTCCTAGGCATGTGGGAGGAAGAGGTGGGCGCCATCCCTGTCCTCGGTTTGCAGTTACAGAAACCAACTCAGTGAGCGGCCACAGGACAGGCTCCAAGCTTGGGGTCCAGGAGCCCCGGGAACATGTGAAAAAGAGGACACAGAGAGCCTGTCTTTCGTGTGTGTGTGTGTGCGTTTAGAATCCCCAAGCTTCTAGGACACAGACACTGGTAGTGTCTGGGTTGACTGTGTCAGTGAGGACCCCGCTGTCAAAGGAGAGAAGAAGGCGCATGCCCAGCCCGGGTGGGGCTCTGGAGCACAGCTGGGCAGCTCAGACCACGAGCTAGAGTAAAACCTAGCTGGGGAGTGGCTGGAGGGCTGGTGGTAGCGGAATGAGGGCTCGAACTCCCTGGGGGCTCCTGGACTATTGCTCACCAGCAGACTTCCAGAGGGCTCCCAGACCAAGATCAGCCCCTGGCTCCTGCCACCACTGCCTGGCATCTGCTTTGAAGGGGAGACAGAGGCCTCTTTCCCCCAGGGTGGGGATTCCTGCCCCCCTCCTGCAATACAGGCACTGGTCCCCAAGCAGGCTGTTTTGTGGTCACTTCTGAATGCCGGGCACGCAGTCCCAAATCCACCCAGTCGTGCAGTCCTCCAGAAGCGGGAGTGGACCAGGGCCCTGCACCAACTGGCCATCCCACCAGCTTGGGGCTGCCCTGGGGCTGGGAGGGGCAGCTCCGTCCTGCAGACAGGTCCCTCCCAGCACGTGTGTCTGGTGACTTGGTGCCCATGGCCCTTGCCGCGACGTGCTCCGCCTCCACTTGACCACCACGCAGAGCTCTGTGGGTGTTCAGTGTTCCGCAGGGACCCTTTAAAGTCAGCCGGTTCCTCTCTCCGAGGGACATCCCCAACAGGGACCCTCTGTGCTAAGGGGACGTGGTGAGCAGAGAGCCACTCGGATTTCTGCCAGTCCTCTAAAAGCGGGGCTTCCTCTGGCCGGAGGAGATTGGAGCGCAGTTCCTCTGGGTGAAGGCTTCTTTATCGAGTGCTCCGAACTGGATAAGAGCCAACTCCAATCTCTCCTCTTCTCCATGCAGCTAAGGAGCCCCTTCCCGCCCTACCCTGGCTGCCCCCGGCGGCTCAGAGCCTTGTGACTCCTGTCCGGGCACCACTCCGGGCCGCAGCC